TTCCAACTGGTCCCATGTTTGTGCCCCAGTTTTTTGAAACCCTGTTTGTCCACCTTGTCAATTCCTCTCAGTATTTTGTAAGTCGTTATCATGTCCCCCCTATCTCTCCTGTCCTCCCAGTGTCGTCAGGTTGAATTCCCTATCCTCTCCTCATAGGACATACCTCTTAACTCTGGGACTAGTCTTGTTGCAAACCTTTGCACTTTCTCTAGTTTATTTACATGCTTGGCTAGGTGTGGTTCCAAACTGGTGCCGCATACTCTAATATGGGCCTAACGTACACGGTGTACAGGGTCCTGAACGACATCCTTATTAAGATTGTCGGAATGCTGTTCTGAGGTTTGCCTGGCGCCCATATGCTGCGGCAGTTATTTGGTTGATGTGCGCTTCAGGAGATGTGCCTGGTGTTATACTCACCCCAAGATCTTTTTCCTTGAGTGATGTTTGTAGTCTTGGCCCCCTAGACTGTACTCCGTCTGCGGTCTTCTTTGGCCTTCCCCAATCCTCATGACTTTGCACTTGGTGGGATTGAACTCCAGGAGCCAGTTGCTGGACCAGGTCTGCAGCCTGTCCAGATCCCTTTGTTGTTCTGCCTGGTCTTCGATCGAATGAACTCTTCTCATCAACTTCACGTCATCTGCAAACAGGGACACCTCGGAGTTTATTCCTTCCGTCATGTCGTTCACAAATACCAGAAACAGGACTGGTCCTAGACTGACCCTGTGGGACCCCGCTGGTCACAGGTGCCCACTCTGACACCTCGACACGTACCATTACTCGCTGCTGTCTTCCTGACAAGTATTCCCTGATCCATTGCAGTGCCTTCCCTGTTATCCCTGCTTGGTCCTCCAGTTTTTTGCACTAATCTCTTGTGTGGTACTGTGTCAAAAGCCTTCTTGCAGTCCAAGAAAATGCAATCCACCCACCCCTCTCTCTCTTGTCTTACTGCTGTCACCATGTCATAGAACTCCAGTAGGTGTGAGTGTGTGTGTGTGTGTGTGTGTGTGTGTGTGTGTGTGTGTGTGTGGTGTGTGTGTGTGTGTGTGTGTGTGTGTTTGTGTGTGTGTGTGTGTATGTGTGTGTGTGTGTAATTATGTGTCGAATTATGTGTGGGTTTATTATGTGTCTGAAAAGTAGGTGGCTTGTGCTTGGAGTGTAATGTGGATTCTCAGTTGCCGCTTGTGTCCACAACCTCTTGTGACCTGACTCCCACCCTCCTGAGACTTACACTCACCTACTTACAATGTTGCCTATGCTTGACCTGCTTATAGTAAGTTAATCGCCTTGTTCAATGGATTACCATTTGCTATTCCTTATTGAATACTTGAGTGCCTATTCTTTATCGTGCTATGAGAGTTAGACCATTCACATTCAGCTTGGCGGTTAATTGGAACCTGGAACCCCACACCAAAACAACCACTCATAGGTGATACAGTACTTGTAGTGCAGCTGTAGCACCGTAGATTGTCCAGCTCGATGTGACGTCCTGGCGTAGATCCAGCTCGATGTACGTCCTGGCGTAGATCCACCTCAATTTCTTCTCGTTAATAATGTACCCTATTCATTGTATTTCTCTCACTGGTCGCACGATTGTTTCACTTTATTACCTTTCTTGGGTGACACTTGACAACGTCGCCTTACACACTAGCCTGCCCACTCTGCGCCACAACGTTTTTATTTTCTAGATCACTTACAAAATTGTGGCTCTCCCCACACTATGTGGCTCAGGCAGATTAAAAATCACTTCTATGATTGTTCACTACCCTGACACACTTAGCAACCCTTGCAGAACACTTGCATAGCCCTCAAAAACACTTATATTCCCGGAGCACGGAAGGCGTGACTAGTGCGCTCGCTGTCCCTACTGTGTGTGTGTGTGCGTATGTATGTATGCACCGCCTACATGGTTGTGACATTTCCAGTTCATTGCTGCTAGACTTAATATATATCCACTACAAAAACCCTATACCTCGTCCATACATCAGTAGCACTTCGCTTCCACGTCATTTCAAACTTATACTAACATATGTTGTAGACTACCTAACACTTTTTAATTAATTATTTAATATATTTTCAATCTCAGAAGAACATCTAAACTCAGGTGTTACTTAATCTTTTCACGAAAGACAGATAAAACTTTATCAAAACACTTTTGTGCTGTATCACTGGTCATGCAGTGAGTTGAATGCCAAACATCAAATTGAACCTTATCACGCAAATTGCGAATGCCAGAAAAGAATGGAAAGTCACTGGCAACAAGGGAAAGAAGAATTTTCAATCCTGTTATCTGAACATGCCTTCCAACTCCAAAGTTAACAAATTTAGGTAAATACATATTTGAGAACGAATAATCATGTCTAGGAGTTGGTGGAGCTGCAGAGAGTTCATCAAGTGAGACGTTCTCTGGGAGAATCATTCTCCTCATCGCTAAATCTTTAAATACTTGCTTGTTTTCTAGTTTTTCTCGGAATTCAGTGTCAAACTGTTTAGCATACTTCCAGAAATGATCTTTTACATTGTAAGGGGTTGACATGGTGTGCGATAATGGAGAAGCATGATAACCCATTGGCAACACTTTGGAATAACTGTGATGTAACGGCGAAGATCAATGGAATGTAAGCTGTTAATATTGTAGACGTCGCGTAACACGCCAGCCTCCCTTACTAGCTCAACTAATGCTGTGTTCACTATTCCAATAAATCCCGAATTAAAAGAGATTCCCTGAGATATACACATGTTATGAAACTTCTTAACTTCAGAGGTGTCTAGTATACCACATTCTAAGTATTCTGTCGTAACATTAGTTGCTTCTGGAGTACCAAATGCTTCTATGAGTAGAGGTGTGTGTTCATTATTTTTAAGTTCATTAAGAAATAATTTCAACTTTTCGGGATCCTTTTCAAGATCTACTTTCACTTGTCGTTCAATCTCTGTTGTCTGACTGTGGTCTATAAGTTGTCCAAGTTGCTGATTACCAATAGGTTTTTTGCTGATGTAATCATCAAGAAGTTTCACAAACCATGCAGTAATTGATAATGAATCATTGCCATCAATTACACCGTGATGAAAACTGAACAATAATTTGTTCCTATATGGAAACTTTTCGTTCAGTTCCGGCCAGATACAAGGGGTGTCGGTTGGCGACTGCAGAAGTCGAACTTTCCACAGTGGTCCATCAGTCAAGTTGAAGTTAGTGTTGATCATAGCCTGCGATTCCTTTAATGAATCTGGGCCTTCGACAACCTGAAGGACAAAATGAACAAGATTAATACAAAGTTCAACTCTTATGACAGGAAAACAATGGAAGGTAATCTAAAAGCATGTAACACTTAATATGGTTACTAAACACTTGATACAAGTTTTTAAATGAGTCATATAACAAAGAATCCTGATTCATCTTGTCCGAAGACTCATATCACTAATTAAATTCGCTGTCAGATGAGAGCCAAATATGAATTCTCCCAGATTGCTGATACCCAAATAATTGTGCTAATTTCATCAGATATATGAAATCTAAAGTAATTAATCAATGTTCCTATGTGCGGGTTATTTGTGTATCGTTCCAGTCACGGTATTGTGCCTTTTTTGTTATTTATGGACCCCGCAGTTAAGCGTCATATTCTCTCCAACTTTTTTAATGTTCTTCCCTCTTTTAAACCCCTCTTTCGATCTTATGAGGCTGCTCTTATTGCTACCCGGCGTCGTAAGAATCAGCTTCGCTTCCTACGTGACTGTCTTGCTGAACAAGTTCTGCCACCTTCCTTCTCCCACTTCCTGAAAACCAACCCACTTTCCTGATCATGCCCGTCTCCTACTTCAACAGCTCATTCTTTCTACTAAATCACAGGTTGAAGATGGCTTCTTTACTTTCCGTCAACGTCAACGTGCTCTCTTTGCGGCTCTACCACAGGATCTCTGTAACCTTCTCTCTACCATTGCCTTTGACACTGCTCGCCTGAATACACAAATTCATTCTTCCAAACTACAGAATAAACTTCAACGTCTCATCTCAGCTAGCCCTTGGCTAAATTCTCCCTCACTGACTGCGTTACTAACCTGTCTTCTGTCTCACTCCTCAGTATGAGCTTGAACTTCTTGGTTTTGGCCTTTCCTTTGCCACTTCGCCTACTCCTCGCGCTGGTATTTCCCTGATTAGCTCTTTTGATTCCTTTCGTCAATCTCGCTCCCGTAATCTTCCTGACTTGTCCACTTTTCGTGGCGCTCTCCTTCCTGCACTTGTTAGTCTAATTTCTAAGAATCACCACCTTCCACGCCGTTACCAACTTGCCCTTTCTTCTCTTAAATCCAACACTAACATTGTCATACTATCTTCTGACAAAGGTAATTCGGTAGTTATCCTTGATCGCGAGGATTACCTCCGTAAAGCTGATGTCTTGCTCTCTGACTCACGTACCTACACTCCTCTCGTTTCCAACCCTCTTGATCGCATCAAGAGAACTTTCAACAAAAAACTAATGACTCTCTCCGACCTCTGTCCTCCTGGCTTTGACCTTGTTCAACGGTTTCGTGTCATCTGTCCCTCTCATCCCTATTTCTATGGCCTTCCCAAAACTCAAAAACCTGATATTCCTCTTCGTCCTATCATATCTTCTAGAGGTCCTGTCTCTTATTCTCTTGCTTCTTGGCTGGCCAAAACCCTCACTCCCTTTCTTGGTACTTTTTCTCCTGCCCACCTCCGTCACTCTCAAGACTTCATTGAACGGGTTCGCTCTCTTCCAACCTGTAAGATGCTTAGTCTTGACGTTGAGTCCCTCTTCACCAATGTCCCTCTTGATGATGTCCTTGATTTCCTTAGAGAGAAGGCCCATGAAGGGTTTCTTCATCTCCCTGTACCTACTGATGTCTTTCTTGATCTTATCCGCCTCTGTGTGGACTCTCCTTTTCTTCCAAGGGAAATATTATTCTCAAACCTTCGGTGTCGCTATGGGCTCTCCTCTCTCTCCTGTCCTTGCTAATCTTTACATGGAATACTTCGAGACTGTTCTTCTTCCTACCCTCGATGTGCAACCTTCACTCTGGCTCCGCTATGTGGATGACATCTTTGCTCTGTGGTCTCTTGACTCCAGTCTCTTCCAACCTTTTCTTGAAGCTCTTAATAACCTTTCCCCTTCCATTAAGTTTAAAGCTGAATGGGAATCTAATTCCTTGCTTCCTTTCCTTGATGTCCATGTCCACCGTTCAGATACAGGTTTTTCCTTTTCCGTTTACCGAAAACCTATGCACAGTGGCATGTACATTCACTGCTTTTCCTATCATGCTTCCCCTGTCAAGAAAAGTGTTCTTATCTCCCTCTTTCTCCATGCCCTCCACATCTGTGATCCTCAGTTCCTTCCAGCAGAAATTTCCACTCTTCATAATTCGTTTTCCCGTCTTTGCTACCCTTCCAATTTCATAGACTCTGCCCTCTCACGTGCCAAACGCAATTTCTTCTCTCACAAACTCTCTACTCCTGGGAACTCTTCTATCCTCTGCCTTCCATACATTTCCGGTCTTTCTAATCTCAATAATTCTCTCCGTCCCTTAGACATCAAGCTTACCTTCTGCCAGACTAACATTCTTTGCACTAATCTCGTTCATACCTCTCCTCCCTCTACAGATGTTCCTGGTGTCTACTCTATTTCTTGCTCCTCCTGTCCTCTTCAATACTTCGGAGAAACTGGTCGATCTCTTTCTGACAGACTTAGGGGGCACAAAAATAGTGTTAGGCTTGTCGACACTAACAATGCTCTTTTCTGTCAAGTCAGAGATCATAGCCATCCTATTGACTGGTCTTCTGCTAAAACTGTCTTCCCTACTTCCAACTCGAACAGTCGCCGTCTAGTTGAATCCTCTCTAATACACAACTTTCCTTGCATGAACCTTAGCCCTGGCTTCGTCTCTGTAGATGCCTTCCTCTCCCACTACACTGTAAAATGCTCCAAACTTCAGAACACCCGTGACTTAACCTGACTCCTCATTTTTTCTTTTTCTTTTTCTTCTCTCTCTTCCCCTTTCCTCTTTCCTTTTCTCCTCTGGGTTGTCTTTCTCTCTTCTGTCTCGTGTTTCTGTTCCTTCTTCATTTATTTCACCACTTACCCTTTCACGCACCTCTGTGCGCTTGCTCTCCCTCAGTGGGCACCTAGCTCTCTTGCAGTGCTCCCCTTCCTTTGTATTTGACTGGCTCGTCCTCCTTATTTCCCACTTCTACCACTACCACTACTTCTACCTCTTCTACTACTACTACTACTACAACTACTGATGAAATTAAGACACATGTGCGTCGTCTGGTTGTCTTTGTTGTGGACGTTTCGCCATCCAGTGGCTGGCTGGATGGCGAAACGTCTACGATAGGGATGCCCGGGTGTTGTGCATGTGTCTTAATGTCATTTTGTCGGTATTATATACCATTCTTGTACTACTACTACTACTACTACTACTACTACTACTACCACCACCACCTCTTCCTGCCTATATATAGCCGTCCTGCTCCACTTCTGGTTAGTGTGACTTTGTCAATGGCCCAAGTCGGACCGAAACGTCGTCGTAAGCTTCCCTCTTTTATGTGCGGGTTATTTGTGTATTGTGTACAACAGATAACTAAGGAAGTTTAATAAAAATGAACTCTATGATTAAATAACATAAAATATAATCTCACTAGATTCCCCATTAACGTTTCGTTATTTATTCCCCAACTGGGACCTCTTCTATGGCAGAAATGACATGTATACCAGGGATGGGGTTCACTTATCTAGGTCTGTGATGGCGGCACTGGCAACTGCAGTGGAGGGAGCTGTTATGGCTTTAAACTAGAAATAGTTAGTGGTATGGGGTTTGGCGGGAAAACAGTGAAGTCCCAGTATAGTAATACAATGAGTTCTAAAGGAACTAGTAATATGCAGAATGAGGTGGTTATTGGAAAGCCAGTGGCAGTAGGTGACAAGGACAGTAATAGGTTTAGTGGAAAAACAGAAATGAACAGGAAGGGTAAAAAGAAAAGATGGTTTTTAGATATATATAATTCTAATAGTCGTAGTGCTAGGAAAAAGATGGACGTGTTAAGATTAGTTGCTAGTGCAGGTAACATTGATATATTTGCCATCACTGAGACATGGTTTAATTCGAAAAGTCTGGATATGCCTGCAGAATGTCACATTTAGCGTTTTAAATTGTTCCAAGTAGATAAAAGTATCCGGAAGGGGAATGGGGTGGCACTGTATGTCCGAGATAGCTTAATAAACTGTTGCATAAAAAAGGGGTTTTAAGTCTGAAGAAACACATACACGGTCTTTCTGGATAGAATTTTCAGAGGGGAATGAAAATTGATTTTAGGAGTGACATACCGTCCCCCAAACTTAGATAGGGACCAGGGGAGACTACTATGAGAGGAAATTGTTAAGGCCACAGGGCACGATAATGTAGTAATTCTAGGGGATTTTACCTTTAATCAGAGAGATTGGAATTTCTTCACTTGGAATTTAAATCAAACGACCTCTTAGACGTAGTTCAGGATTGCTTTTTGAAGCAGTTTGTGAGAGAACCTACAAGGGGAAATAAACTGCTTCATTTGGTTCAGGCAAACAGGGAAACCCTTGTTAATAATTCAGAAATTACAGAGGAACTCAGCACAAGCGATCGCATTCAATGGAAGTATGGTGGTAGGGATAATTCAGTAATGGCCCCAGATTTTCGTTTAGCAGAATACAATGTTCTTAGAGAACACTTGCCATCTGTGGACTGGGGTAACGAAGAGAGCTATCATTATGACAGCTTTCTTAACACTATACATGCTACCCAAAGAACATTTAGCCAAATAAAGAAATTAGATCGACTAAAAATGACCCATAATGGACTAGTAATAGACTCAAATATCTCTTAGGACAGAAGAAATAAATTTATAGGCTCATCAAAAAAGGTGATGGTCATCTTATGAATCAGTATATTGACATTGAGAGGAGTGTTAAAAAGGGGATAAGAAAAGCTAAACGGGAATACGAAATTAAAGTTGCTAGGAATTCGAAAACTTACCCAAAAAGCTTTTTCCATGTGTATAAAACAAAAGTTAGAGATAAGATAGGTCCCGTTATGAATAACTCTGGGCATCTTACTGAGAAAGAAAACGAAATGTGCTCTCTTTTTAATAATTATTTTCCCTCGGTTTTTACACAGGGAGATAAATTATGTAACATCACAGTCACTAGTGAATTATGTAACATCACAGTCACTAGCGTTTTTCAAGGGTTCTT